GTTTGCATTCTTCCAAGATTCTGGAATTCTTCCCGTCAGGAAACACTTCGTAAACAGGGTGACTAGTTTTTCTAGCACAGTCTCACTCTAAAGCAAAATTATCCTAAAAAGGAGTAACGGAGCCCAATAGGTGCACGCGATGAATGGATAGATCATTGAGGAGCAACCACAGAGGGAAGCGTGCCACGTGCAAACAACTTAGTCTCCAAACACGCTTCAAAGGAATGAACCGCCCGGTGAATGCAGGCAGTGCGAAAAGCTTTGCCGAGATCACTGGCCGTCCTCCTCCTCTCCTGGCTCAGTCTTTCCCTGTATTGTGCTGGCGACGGTTTGCGTTGCGTCGCGCGCGTAGTGCTCGACCACAGCCGCCTATAATCGACGATCTAGGAATTACGACGTGGTGCTTGTGTGTACGCTTTGATGAGCGTGGCCTGCTGCTTTTACATTTCGCTACACCCATGAAGTCTGGAGCAAGTCTTGACACGTCACCACGCCGCGCTGTATATCTCTGGCTTCAAGATAGTCACGACCAACACGCGACAGCAACAGTTGGGAAGTCCAACATGGCGGCCGAGAAGACAGCAGGTCTATCGGATATATACTTCAGTCTGACTCAGGGCAGAAATCAGGGCTGGATTCTTTCGCAAGTGGGTTACCATTTTTTATTCTACTCAACTTGTCGTGTGTGCAATGCGGATCGCGCTTGCCGGCAACGGGCTCGGTCGTGTTGTATATCGCACGCACGAAATGCACCGCGAAGGTCAGCTTGGGCGTCTGCAGTTCGCCTGTGCTTTGCAATCACCTGAAAATCGACTGCCATTGCCGTCGGCCTCCTGTACGCTCGCTCATCGAGTTCCCGCCTGTCTTCGCCGCCGCGATGAGTTCCGGGCTGATGATACTGGGCTGAGACCTCGTCGCTGTGTACACGGGCCTACAACACGGGCCTACAACACGGCCTACACGGCCTAAATGTTGTAGGCCCGTGTACAAACTCTGGTGTCGTGGTTGAATACCTCAACACATGTGAATGCTCCGGTGTTACAGCTTTTAGTCTTGATGTAGTCGACTTATATTATTCTTTGCCGCATGATCAACTGTTAAACAGCGTTGAGCAGTGCATTGTGGAAGACAATGATGAGATATCGTTCAGGAATAGCACGGGAATTTCGGCTCAGTCTTTTCTAGAAATTTTGACGTTCTATTTGAAGTCCACCTTCGTCGTATGGCTTGGGAACCTGTACATGCAAAAATCAGGTGTGTGTATAGGTTCAAGTGTGGCCCCTGTTTTAAGCCAAATCTTTCTTGGGAAGGTGGATGCAGCCTTAAGCACTAAACTTCAACCTGGCACAAAAGTATTCCGTTATGTTGACGATTATCTGATTATCATCAAGAAGTGTTCAACAGTGGACGTTGAAAGTATGAAGGCATGCTTCGAGAAGGAAGGCATGGGCCTCCGGTTCACCTCAGAGCTTCCAAAAGATAACAAATTGCAGTTCCTAGACCTTTCCCTGTTTTTTGGTGATAAGCACCTTTGGTGGCGATATAATCCTCGTTCTGCAAACCCGTTCTAGACAACTCTTCCGGACATTCCAAGCTTGTTAAACGCGGAATCGTAATGTCATGCTTACGTTCAGCCCTCGGAAAATGTTGCCTGCATACCTTGCAAAGTGGTTTCGTAGCACAGTTGGAACGGCTGATAGGTGCGGGATACCCTTCCTACGTAATAGCCTCAGTCTGTGAAAAGCTCTTGCGTACGGTCAAAAATAATGAAAAACGCACATGTACTTCTTCAGAGAACAAGGAAGGGAATAAGAAGCGCGCGGCAGTAATCCCCTACATTCATAAAATGGCCCATGGGTTAAAAAACGTGGGAAACCGGTTCGGTGTGCGCGTGGTTTTCTCGGCACCCAATAAATTGGCCAGTATATGTTCAATGGTGCACAGGAGGGCACATAATACATCTAAAGGTAGAGGATGCCTCCAGAAGCACGTAACTAAGTTTGTTAAGTGCATCACCGGAGTAGTATATAAGATACCCCTTTCTTGCGGACGGATGTACATTGGCCAGACCGGCCGATGTGTGAACGTGCGTCTCAGGGAACACAGAAGCTCGTTGAAAAGTACACCTTACTCCCATTTAGCGTCACATTGCGTTTCGTGCAAGTGCCAACCTCTGTTTGAGAATACAATTGTTCTGTTCCGGCATCCTCATCAAACTACGCGCGAAATTTCTGAAGCCTATCACATTTCCAGGAATACGGACCAATGTATAAGTCATCCTTCCCTCTCACTACTTGACTGTGAATTCAGCTACCTAGATAACCCTTAGACATGCGCCTTGATTACACGCTTCGCATGCTGCCCTTGATTTCGTCATAATCTTTTTTTGACATGCGCATTTTGTGTGTATATATGTCCTTCCGATGTGGAAAATAAATCAGTTGTTAGTTGAGCGCTCGTGTTGTGTGGTTCCTCGCTTCGTCCTTTGTGTTTTCTCTGCGCTCCCAGTTCGCTGAACGAAGAAAACCTTTTAGCACAGTTTTGGGTTACAGTGTGTGTTCCATGTTTCAGCAGGTTTGATGTTACCTGATCCTCACCAGCGGTTTTGCCTATTTCCATGCTCTCCGAGGCTTTTCTGACTTTTATCATTACTGGTGGACTGACATCTGGGCTACTGCTAGTTCTTATATGAAGGTTATGGTTGTCCCGGCAACTGTACAGATCTCTGTGAAGCTCCTCCATTATTTAACTATCCCATGCGTATTGGTAACTCCTTTGCCTTGCTTGTTCCTTAGAGCATACACCTCGTTTTTGCCTATCCCAACTTTTCTCATGACTGCTTTGACGGTTCCTCCGTTCTTCCGAACGTGTTTAATTCTCTCCATGTTATAACTTCTGACATCTGATACCTAACGTTTATTAATCAATTTCGAAAGCTCTGCCAACTCTGTTCTGTCTGTTGTATTAGAAGCTTTCAGGCTTTGACGCTTCTCGATAAGCTTGATCCCAATCCTCACATATACCAAGTTGGCTCAACGGCTGCAACAACACTAGGTAAATCATGGCGTTCATTTTTGCCTTGAAAAAGTACCGCCAACGCACCTGTCCTTTAGCGCTAATTGATTTCCTCGGATGCATGCGGGCAACAGTGGTAGGCGCTGTTCGGAGCAGTGCACCAGCTTCCGTCGTCCAGAGTGAAGTCTGCGAAGCAGGAATTGAATATATTTGGAGATAATTGAGCATGAACAAAAAAATGCATTTTTGAGTTACAGAAAAGCAAACACGCAACGATTTGACAAGGTCTCTGACCATATTCGAACTTTTTGTTCAAGACGTAATGCTTCAAACTTCAGTTGTACGTTTCCCTGTCTAATAAAACATGGTCTTCGCAGATTTCACATTAGTGTGTAATGTCCCTAAGAGTGGCACAGTGATAACGTAAAGTCATTCGATGAAACAAAAAGCTATCACTAAGAGCAATGCAAGACTTGCTCATGTACCCGAAGGCTTCACGCAGAGAAATGGTCGCTTGAAATAGCATCCTGTTTTCCTGTGCTCGAAAATAAAGAGTCAGGAAGCCTTCGTTCACCACTGTCTAGGATTGAGGGCTTGCACTGCTTGTGTTACCCAATTTTTTATCTATGCATTGTAGGAGGTGTGGCTGTGATCCGATGGTAGACACGTGCACAATTCTTGACAGAAATAGAAATCAGCTGAGGCGGCACATCACCCAGGCACGAAAGATTAAGAAGCTGGGAGAGATAAGCATAAACAAGCCGTCAATTTCTCCGACCAAAAGGAATGAGATGTTCTGGTTGTGACAACGCCATTTTAAAAGTGGCAAGCCTTTGTAGTATTGAACGTCTGCGCATTTATCAGAATACAACAAGTAGTGAATGTATCGCCACAATAAATTTCTCGAATCGAAAGAAGCCCCATTGTGGGTGTATATGTGTTCAGTTTTTTTCAACTGCGTTCCTTGTGTGGTGAAAGATCTCTCCAAAATTTTCTGGAACCGAATATTTTAGATGAGAAGTGCGCAAGATAACCACCCTACCTTTAGGGGATTGTGGTAAACGCTGACCGTGAGGGTAAAGGGATTCATACGGTGCGATAAAAAGTCAAGTACATTTCATTTCCTTTAGAAGCACTACGTTGTCAACTGTGAAACTGCGAAATAGAGCAACTGATAAAAGTAAAATGTTCGAATTCATACCTGCGTCAACAAACTACTTATATTTTACTTGAATGCCCTGACTACACATGAACCTTTCACTCGCTTCATCGCTGGAATAGCGGCTGTGAACTTCTGACGTTTAGGGTGCCTTCGCGATCGCTGGCAGCGCGCTATCTCGGCAGGCATCAGCGGACGGCTCGAATACACTTCTACATGCTGCACGCTAAACGTGAACAGACAGCGGCACGAAAACCGGAGCTCTTACTGAAGCGGCCGCATTCTCTTTTATCAGCGTTTCGAAGAGTTACACGAGATTATATCGAAAGGAGTTGGCGGCCTGCCTTAATTGGTATCGTGTTACAACTTGTTTCTATCTCATTCATTTCTCTGGTCTCGAGGATAAACAGCCTTTTCTTTTTTTTTTTGCTGAAGTAATTGTCGGCTTCTTCGGTTCTGCAAGGTGAAAAAGCGCGCAATTCATTGCATTAATCCGCACCTTCTCAGTTATAAAGGCCACCTTTGCAGACTCTCTGCGTGGGCCATGCGCTTCAGGGAGTTGAGGCTGCTGGGGTGGTTCCGGTGTGACACAGGGCTGTAAGGTGAAAATATCGGCGTCACGGCGTCAAATATTATTTAACTGCATTTGCTACGAGATTTCGCAAATTTGGGAATTGTTAATAATACATCAAATAGTGTCAGTCATATTCTGGGTTAGGGTTCCTCGATGAAGGCGGCCCACAGGGCATGTGGGAAGGCGCCAAGCAATAGTTATGTCTCGAGAAAGGAATGCAAGCATCCCCACTAGTGAAGAGTAAATTCGCACCTTTCCTTTTGATTTGGCAGCCTTTAGTGGATTCTTTAGAAGGACCAGGCTGCGCAGGCACTGCTCCTGGTGGCGCTGCCGGTTCATCCCAGCCATCCGCAGCCTGGAAGCGTACAATCACCAGTCATTCTATTTAAACGCTGCACAAATACACGGACATTTCGAAATGGGTGGTCAAACGTGGCATATACGCCAAATACATGTCACGTAAAACAAACGCGAAAAGGCATTGCTTTCTGTTTAGATCATTTGTCGAATCTTAGCGATTTTCCCTTTGACCGTGCGAATGCGCAAGACGCCAAAGGACTATACCCTATTGCCTCCTCCAATAGGGTATAGTTGTCGCAAGAAGGGTAGGGCTTAATGCAAAAGCTGTTGTAAGAAACTGTGAACATTTACCCAACTACATCACGTTGGTATCCTTAATGGTTTTGGGACGTTAAACCCCACAAATCAATCAATTGGTATTCTTAAGTAAACGTGTAGCATATAAAGTGGCAACGGAGGCGAACGCGACCCTGCACTCATTTAAGCTTGTCGTCTTCAATGGGTGGTTGAAATAATAAGTGTATATATGACTCACAATTTAACCGCCGAAATTATTGTTCTGTCTCGGTGATCGCTGTAGTGGGGACTTCGCATTAAGTTTCATCCTTTGGCCACTTCTTTGCGCAAGAACGCTAGATAAGCGCGGGCTTTATTTAAATGCGGAGCATTTTATAGTCGTACCCACTAGCAAATCTGGAGTCGGCAGTGTTGTCGACATTCCCGCTGCGCATACTCGCGTCTCGTGCAAACTGCCGCTCCCCTGCCCCTCCCCGCCGCTCTCTCGTCTCGCAAGGCCGACGCAGGCGGCGTCTGTTAGTTGAAACCGACTGCTCGCGCTACACAATTGTTCACTGGCCTCCCCGTATAAGTAAGCACTAATCGCGCGTTTGGAAATTAGTCAAAGGAATCTTCACTTGGCTTTTGTTTGACTTCGCGCTTTGCTTCACTCGAGTGGATGCGACGGAAGCAAGCAACCGGTAGGGGAGGCACAACGCAACATCAGCGCCCCACCACTCGTCGATGGCCACTGTTCTCTTTCATTCAATAAATAAAAACAATAAAGACGAAATAGCAATAAGCATTCCCAAATCATTCCCAATTACGCAGCATTCACGCGATAGCCCCCTCCCCCCTCCACTCTGTGACAAGTTTACTCGAGTTCGCCTATATGGAAGACGTGGGCACCTTTTATTTTTTCATTTTAATATAACCATAAAGATTGCTAGCCGAGTGAATTATGTTGCATAACAGGAGCTTTTATTACCGAGATACGCACGAAAGAAAGATTCGTCACAACCTAATGAACAGGCAAGAGCTTAATTTCCGAATGTTAATTTGGAGGAGCATTGACATGAATTTCCGCAACTTTCGTATTGTTGCTGAAAAAAAAACAGTCCGGTGTCGAGTACATTTAAAAGAAGTGTCATGGTGCCTCGGAATGGACTGTACATCTGTTAGTTCGCAGACGCAGCAGGAATGTATTTACTATTCAAGGTCTTTTATATTGCAGTGCAACTGGCATGCGCATGCATATCGATGGAAATATTTTATCATTGAGCCAAAATAGTTTGCATGTTTTCGAGCCATGGTGGATGAAGAGCCCAAACCTCGTGCACTAGAAAAAAAAGATGACTATTTTGTGACGCCTCAAAACTGCTTCACCATTTTTTTCGGACCGTACTGATTCTTTTAGACGCACAAAAACACAACTCGTCCGGAACGTGTTCATACCCTAAGATCCCTCATATCGTTCCCGCCAAACGCGTGCGTGCCAATTGAACTATTGTGTCAGTTTTGTGCGTGAGAATATTGATCTCGAAATGTGGTGGCCAGAAGCGTAAGTCACGCCCTTCTTCACAGCAGATAGAGGCCACAGGAAATGAGACGCCGCAGCCGTATTACTTCTTTCTATTTGCTTTTATCTTATATACCTCGCAGGACCCGGAAGATGCTTAGCGTGAGGGGGCCTTACAGTACAATTCAATACCTTATGTACTCGTGTTAAATTCAACAGGATAAAGAAAAAGTACAAATTATCCAAACAATCCGGCTCTGGCATGCGATAGCTTTAGGCCAGGTATTTGAAAAAGAAGTGGTACCCAGTCGCCTTCGCGCTCACCTTGCCGTCTTCAGCAACACGCGACTTTTTCGGTTTCCTGACCTTCCCGCTGTCCTTGGAAGAAGTAGACTTCGCGGACGAGGAAGACTTGCTGGCTGTAGAGGTCACGCTGGCCTTCCTCGCGTCGGCCATATCGTGGTTGCAGGAAGCAGGAAGCCGTGGAAGGTCACAGGTCGAGGACTTGGGGTCGGTGATGAAGACGGGCGTCTTGACTAAGCGCGGCACGGTGCTTCTTCTACTTTCTCTTGGGTGCATGCACCTCGCGCACTTCGTGCGTCGTATGCGACGACGAAGATGATCGCTCTAGTCGTGGATTGTGGCACATAGCATGTACGTTCCACATGCTTACCATTAAAGCATATTAAAAAAATACGCTCTTCCCTTAGCCGTTTACAGCTCGTATTCATTTTCGAACCGAGAACATTTTTAATGAGCCTTTGTCCAAGGTACATATGTCTCAAGTTGTGTTAGTATAAGAGCAACTAGAACCTTTAAATGTTAACATATGCACCATTGTTTCAAATAACTCATTGCCAACAACCAAAATTGAATTAGAATATATAATTTCTTCTGATGCCAAATTTCTACCTAAAAAGCCGTATTAGAAGACTATCTATATCAAATCAGAATTCTTAATGTCATTGCTAAGGATGCATTCCTGTGTGAAGAGGAAGAAACCTTGTCTTGGTCCTTCTCAGTACGTCTCCTGGATTACACTATTATATTTGAAGCAGAGCTTTTCGCAATTATTTGGGCCCATAAAGAACTTTCAATCCATGATTCGGCAGCAGTTATTGTTGATGATTCGGTTTCCGTATGAAATCATAACCTCCGCTTCTTCATTCGAGTATTCCCATTGAAATGCTTTCGCTTTTTTAATACCAAAAACACTTAAGTACAGTGCGGTGGGTGTGGGTGCCAGGTCACCGAGGCATATTTAGAAATGAAATGGCTGATACTATAGCGCGGTGGTCCCTAGATGGTCCTGTAATGGGCATTGTTCTGATACCAGTTTTGTTACTGAATCTAGATTTCGTCAATATTCTTCACTTCAGGATTCTATGAAAATTAGATTACCAGTTCAAGAATACGCTCATCTTTCTTTCGCTTGGAATAGTAAATGGCGCCCCTCTCGCAAATTGGAAGTGTGCGTCAGAAAATTTCGATGCCGAATTCCGCCTCTCAGTTTCTATTTATGCAGGTCGGGTCAGGTGCCATCTCCCCTGCGCTTTTACTGTCAAGATCGATCATTTTTTACTTCGTTGCCGATGTTTCAAAGACCACAGGGAAAAACATATAAAAACTATATATATATATACATATATATATATATATATATATATATATATATATATATATATATATATATATATATATATATATATATATATATATATATATATATTCAACAAGATATTAAACATTACCCTTAACTCTGAAAATATCCTTTCACTGGTAGCTTCTTCTCTAGGTCACAGCAACAGGAGTGTCTGCGTAGCTGTTTGTGAACTACTCTGAGACATAAGAAAGTTTGCTTGTTAAACTTTACTTTTTTTAAACGATTAGTATTCTTGTTCTTTGGACGTTCCATCCATTTATTCGTTTCAATTAGTAGTTGTTTACCTGTTTTATTCGTAAGTCACCTTATGCTTATCAACTTTTATATTGCCTAGATGTCTGAATATTCATTTATCTTCATCAAAATTAGGAATATGTTTTCTCCATTACAATAACCGCCGATTCAATAGCCAATCGGCCGTGGTGAGTACGAGCTGTTGTGACTGGCGCCAGAGCTGACGAGGGAGCGGCGCTCTTTTAATCCTCAAACAAGTGGCCGAACGGCCGGCTGGCTGCCTATGCTCGCCAGTTATTATCCCTCCAAGCCGGAGGGTGAGGCGTCGTGTCGCCACAACGCCGTAAGCGGTTCGGAAGACCACAACGAGTGTGGCATCTTCCGTGAAAGATGCCGCGGCAGCGGCAAATCGCCCCGCTAATTAAGCGAGCAGTTCGGCGGACCCTTTGATGTATGCGGTCATGAGCTTCGGACCCCTCGACCAGTGGCACACACACGACGAAGAGCCCCGCTGGCGCCACCTTGCACTGCAGAGTCACGCCTAATTATTGAACGTTCGCGTTGCTGGTGCATGTTCGTCCCCCTCGCCAGTTGTGTGTGGTCTGTGATTGGACAGTACCATGTGCACGTGTTCCCTGATCTAGGGATCTGGGGAGAACATACCTTTAGAGTGAGCCACCCGGCTCATTCGAAGAGCGCCATGTAGACGAACGCCAGATTCGAAACCTCGCCATGTAAGAAAGAGCTCGTCATGTACGAAAGCTCACCCTGTATATAATGTAAATAAAGCCTCTTCAAGTCTCTCTTCCTCCTGCCTCGACAACTTTATCCCGGACCTTCGGTGCCTGCAAACCCCGTCGTAACAGAGCCAAAGGATGTAGGAATCAGCAAGGAAGCACACGTACCGACAACGGGGGGCTGCTCCGCGAGTTGGTTCGTTGGTTGATCCTTGGTGAACTGTCGCAAACCTCAGTGGGGCCAGCCGTTCCTTATTTAAAGCCAAACATTTTTTATGTACTGCAGGCCCTTTGATCGTCTATCTACCTATCTATATACTTATCTAGCTACCTATGTATGGGTGCTCTTGTGATCACCTCTTTAACTATAGAGGGACACCATATTTAGTATAGGAAGAAGACATGGCTTGTAGTATATCACTCACTGGTCGTGACTCATGACATCGATAATGTGACGAACTCGTCGCTTACTCCAGCAAACTTTTTCAGCCAGACTTTAAGTACCGTATATACTACACTAAATACTGTGATCGTGTAAGGGCCGCTCCTCGCATCCTGGCATTTCAAACTTTGAAACACACACACACACACACACAAACACACACACACACACACACGCAATCTCCCACTAAAGGGAACCACGAATAGGATGCGGAGCAGCGCATATGTCTACTAGAAGTTCCGTTCATCACGTGTACCTTACACGAGGTTTACACGTCCTTGTAAGTGGATAGGTAGGTAGGTAAGCAATTTTATTCATTCACGACAAAATCATTGGAGGAGGGGTGTGGCAGGGGGAGTGGAAGTAGGATGACGACGGGCCCTCGGGTCACTCTAGATAGCCGGACATTGCTGTGCTTCGGCAACCGTTCTTGCCCAGCTCACTGTCTGGAGCTGTGACCCTGGTTGCGAGCTGGGCAGAGCGGCCTCCCATCGCTTCTGGTGTTCTGACCCTTGCCACGAGGGCTTGGTTTCGGACAATTAAGAAATACGTGATGAAAGCCGGCCCTAGTGCTAGAACATATGTTGCAATGAGGAGAGGTTTCACCATGCGTAAAAAGGGAGAAAAGAAAAGGAGTCGTCACTGAGCCTTCATCGATTTACCAAGTCCCAGGATCACTTTCGGATGGCCCGCGGACGCCTCGGCTCACAGGTGGCTACGTCACATGCACGTGGTCTAAGAGTCCCGAGCCAGCTCGAGTAGCCTCGGGCCATCTGCGCGCTTGATGCTGACTGCATCCGCTGTGGCGTCTGCTACACCAAGCTATGCCGTCTGCTCCCTCCATAGCTGTGACACAGGCCACAACGCTGAGCCCATTTGCAACCTAAACAGCAGTTAGGTAGTGAATTATACCTATTTCTGTTGTGATGCAACTTACTGTTAAGTGAACTACTTGAGCGCGTGCGCATCGTAGACTGGCGATGTCATTCACCGCTGTTTCTCAAAGCGAGTACAACGCGTGTTCGCACGACCTTAAGGAATACGCGCAATGCTCGACGTGGCTCAGAACACTGATGACAAGAACTGGGTGCGCTAACAATAGCGAAATTCATAATCATGCGAGAATCGGGCAGAAAAGCAGAGAGAGCAAGAGCGCATCGAAAATTTCCCGTGTCTAACTTAAGATGGCCGCACACCAGGCACACCGCGCTGTCATCTGCTAGCTGCCCAAAGGAAATTGTTCAGGTTGTCCCGGGCCGCCCGCAGGCCGCCAGGCCGCCAGGCACGCGAAAAACGAACATGCGTCCGAGCGATCCCGGACGCGAGTTTACAAAGGCGAGCGGATAGACCCACCCACAATGCACTGCGCCAGGCGCTCTTACAAGGCTCTCGCCGCCAGGCACGCGAAAAACGAACATGCGTCCGAGCGATCCCGGACCAGTGGGCGGAGCTTCCAGTTGGTACCCGAGAAAAAAGAATGCAACGCAGGCGTCCGGGGCCGTCCGGAGCCGTCCGGGACGTGTAAATCGATGAAGCTCACAGTTACACAACTTAAGAGCCACAGTGGAATCTTAGCAACGCAAGCAACTGAAACGGTGGTCAAGCAATAAAACGCTCATACCTTGTATGTTGGTCTCGTATGATGACGGCGTAAAACTCTCGCCGACACGTCGTAATGCTCGTCAAACACAGCGGCATAGCACAACCACTGCAGCCGACGCGTTAGTGGCTTTAGACCAACGCACGTGGTTCTCTAATGTCGCGACGACTGACCGCGTCGGAAATTACCACGCAACGGGGAATTAACCGCGGGTAATACTAAAGCAAACAAGCTCAGTAACACCATCGATCAATTATTTGACACTTCTGACCATCGCACTTTGAGTGTCAATGCAAATGAAGTGCTCCAGCGCCCGCGTTCATCTTCGCAGCACTTTGTTCGGCAACTTGCAACATCTCAGTTGTTGCGAACAACTGAACAACGACCTTTTAATATGTTTAATCATTCAAAATGCTCACACACTTACATTTCACACAATATTTCATTTATTTATTTTCATCGTATTCTGAAGTAGTATTAGCCATAGTAGGAGCAGCTTTTATTTTTAATTTTTATGGCTGCGGGCTAGCCGCTTGAAGACACAAGCTCAGGCGCCTTTTTCGAACAGTGTTTTCAATATTATCTGGGGTTACGACGTGGAAATGAAAGGCACCGAAATATCAATGAGCTAGAGTCCTTTAACGTGCACGGATATCTCACAGTAGACGGATGTTTACCATTTCACCTCCACTGCGATGCGACCACTGCGGTGGGGATAAAACCCGCCAACTTCGAGTCAGCAGCCGAGCACCTGAGCCACTGCTCTACCGCAGTGGACTC